CAAGTTACATTCAAATTTCTGCATTCAGGTCATTATTTGAAAAAAAGTCGTCACCTTAGATAATTCAATGTAATGTCGAAGAACAACTTTAATCCGTCGAAAATTCGAAAATGTGAAAATGGGACAAAACTCTAATCTTCTTTCGATAATACCTTGTATTAAACAAGTGGGAAAAGGATGTGAAACTAATGGTAGGTCGATAGGGTTGTAGAAAACTGATAGACGAGCTGCTGGTCTTCAGGTATAAATTGATATCTGAGCTGAAATTTCTAAGCAAGCCCATCGTCCCATGGTGTTGTTCTACATTTTTCTTCTGCAATCATAAAGATATTGATAATTTTAGCACTATCAATAAGTTTGCTTGTCTCTTCCAAAGAAAAGCCACTTCTATATGGAAAAAAAGATCGAGCCTGATGCAAAAAAAGCAAGGCGCCTTAGTTCCTCCAACAACTCACTAGTGAAGACGACAGCAAGGCCTCTAGGATTATCGACCTTGATTATGTTAATGAATGTAGCAATGGAATGATTCAGCAATGATCCTTGAACAAGAAGAATACTCTAGTGAATTGACTGCTCAAGAATCTCTGGAAAGACTTCTTTGAAAAACTCGATGAAAAATCAGAATAGGGATCGATTTGTTATAAAAGTTTGAGAAAACTGTGATAGATCAACTTAACATTAGTCACGTTAAAAAGGTAGAAAATAGCTGCTAGGAAGTGATCAAAGATTGAATACTTTTCTTGTGGATCTTAAGAAATTTTAGGTGCCTTCGACTCAAAAATACGGTTCATTGACTACCCTCTAGGCTTCCAAAAGACTTATCTATAAGTCCGTGTTGATAGCTAAATGTAGGCAGATGAAATTTTCTTCTCAATAATAAACAGATATGTGACAAAGAAGAAATAATTGCCTAAATCAACAACCCATAGTCAATTTATGGATGAATTTATATCGGACTAAAGTTTACTTTCAAGTGACAGTGTAGAGTGAATTTCAGGATGAGCATCTAGTAAAGCTGACAAATAAGACTAACAATCCGCAAATGTCGACAGCTTCAGCAATATTATTGAACCCCTAGCAGAAAAATTGGATTCTCTCTCCAATTTTGAGATGCAAAGATAATCTGCGACATATTTTCAGTTGGACCAGAGCCAAAGAAATGTTCAAATAATAAACTGTTCTGAATCCAGCAAGCAATTACTCAGAATTTCACAAAAGTGAGCGTCATATAGAGAGGGTTTTGTTCTAAATAAGATTGTCAATAACAGTTTTGTGGCGATGGAAAGAAGAAATTTTTCAAAGAGAACGAAAAGGTTTGGAAACAAGATTAGCAAGACGATCTATGAGTTTGTGAGTGAGTAGACGTGTTTCTGTCACATTAGGAAGAGTTCCAGAAAGCGCACGGATGAATGGATATACGTTTCGCATATTTATAGGGGAGTAACGGCCTATGTACTCGATAGGACGGAGGGAGAAGATATCGAGGGGAGCAGAGAGAAAACAACTGAGACAATAGAGATAAGAAGAAATATAACTCTCGAAGTTGGAGATTTTTTGTACTTTATTCAAAAGCACACAAATTCGCATCATATGATGTTACAATGTCACAAATATTCTCGTGCAAAAATTCTCATAGGTAGGTTGTGATCAGATTAAGCTCGAAGTTACCCTGGACATTATGTGTGTACTGAAAATTACAAAAGTATTATGATATCATGTGTAAGCTTTCTATGAGGTTTGAGATTGCACTTATACAGAACCATACAGGCCACTCTTGCGTTTTCAGGCTCATTAGTACTGTGTCTTTCGGTTCAGTCAATCGTTTTTTTAAAAACACCTACTTATGAAGGAATCGCAGCCGCATTATTTGAATCAGCGCATGTTGAGTCCCCGACATTGCAGTGACCGCAGCCGAGCAATTATGGCTGATAAAATGAATCATGTTTACTTTTGACTGTTTGTATAGACCACGCTCAAAAACAGTGGTGATATGATAGTATGATAAGATGTTCTGAGCCTTTTACGAGGTGTGCTATCAGTATGTAAATCCATAACCAATCGTCATAAAAATCAAAAATTTTTCATTGTTTTAGAGCGAGGTCTATATAAAGGATAAAGGATAAAGCTCTCGGCGTTGATCAATCCCTGAGGGATGCGCCATGCATTCGACTTCAATTTTTAACTTCGTTTGAGGTGATTGAATGCATATCTGGCCTTTACAATGACTCGCGGTGGCCTCCCGCTGAACCGAGTCAGTGCTGCTTATCCTCCCAGACAAGTCTGAGACCTGCCTGGTACCAATTTACCGACCCCGGAGGGATGGATGGCTTGGTGAGCCATGAGCGCGAGATCGAACCATTGACCTCGTGTGCGACCCAGAGCACCTCTAACCACTGCGCCACATGCGCTCAAGGTCTATATAAGCAATGAAAATGAAATTACAAAAGTACTAGCTCTAAAGCGTTGTGGATCTATGGTGGGACTACAATAAAGCTCAATAGCGCGATAGAACGAGAGAGTTAGGAACACAGTGAAGTATTCGACCCCGAAAGGGTTAAAGGTAGCGCGTAAAACACGTGTGGTCTGGTTTGATCAAATGTTCAGCCTCTTGGGGCGTCAAATAACCACCAGATTTGGTTGTGATAGCGAACTAAGCAGTGACTAAATACACCTGCAAGCCAGCTAGTGATTGTACAGCCCAGATATGCTAACAGTGACTTCCACAGTCCTCTGTAGAGTAGAATATATAGTGCAGTTCCCAAGAATTGATTTAGTTTGAACACTTTGATGTTTATATATTAATTTATGTTATATACACGCTTACACTATACACCTATTTTATTATACACATAGTTCCTATTCAATTTTTGAATCACATTCTTCTATAACTTCATTGAATGACTTCGTTTATCCCAATACTTAGTATTCTCTTATTAATTTCCTTACTCTATATGTAGATTACTAAACGAGTAAATGAATGGATATGTAAACACATAGATATACATATATATATTATATATATATATTCATATATGTCAAAATTTGAGTGTAGGATGTTGAAGATGAACCGGGAAAAACTGTTAACACAGTTTTCAACAGATATTAAAACGTTAAATTCCGTTCATCGCAGTGCTAATAGATACGTACGTGCAGATTCTCATATTATACAGAATGTATTCCAAGTTCCGGGTTAACGAGAAGTTTACCTCCAAGGATCCAAAAGTACAATGAACTCAATCTGGGAATACCTCCGCTAAAGAATTCTACGCCTCCATCAGTAAAGTCCGTTCAGATACACAGCAATGATCACCTGGGTGTAGGCCTTATAAGTTCCCTTGGGCTAGCCACCCTTGGAAAACACTATCACGTCAGAGTCTTATACAAAAAGTCTGATAATTTTTACATCTCCAAAACGGTTCGGAGGTGACAAAGTTGGTATGATACAGTAACTATAAAAGTATAAAATTCTTTTTTTCCCTTGAAAAAGCGTTAAAGACGCTATTCACTGCTATTCACTTATATGTGCTTTATAGGAAAATTTTTTTGTGATAGCTTCTATAAGACTTTGAGGATGACGACTTCTGCACCCAAAAGACGCAATTTTTTCAAATAACCTGATATGTAGCTTGAATCTGGTAAATTAAAATGGTGATCTGACGGTGCGATGTCAGGAGAGTAAGATGGGCAAGGTGAAACCTCTTGAAACCTCCCACCTCAGCTCTTTTATGGTGTTTTCGATCGGTTTTGCAACATGGAGCCGAGCGTTATCACGCAGAAAATTGCAAACTTCGTGCCATTTTGGTTTTTTGATAAGATTTTTGCAATAAAATTGCATAACTTCGGTATCATTAAATTAGGCATTTTCTTGCAAACATTTTATTGCTCGAATCTGCTGTGCCTGATTTAAGATAGAGCTCGCTTGAAGCTGCATTAATCTTGTACACCGCCTCACTAGCACATTCCCCTACGCGCCAATCGCCTTGCATAAGTAGTAAGCGAACAAAGCACCTATTTGCATGTTGCACACCAAAATGTCCGCGAGAGAATTCGCAGTCGAACGATACCGCAATCATGCAATTTCAAGTCCTTTCGGCTGACAAATCTGCAAAGTTCCCGATATTAGAAAGCATATAAACAAGTGGCGTTTTTAGCGCACTTTCATACAAAAAATAATTTGCGTACCTTTACTCCTACTATTATTGAAGCAGAAAGACGATGGAGTCGTATTTGTACACTTAGAAGTAAATAGAAAATATTTTTGAAAAATTGATAGCGGTGTTCATATAAATTCAAAAATAATGTTTTCTTCAGTGATTAGAGTAATACCGCGGAGCTGTTATGAAAATCTTATTCTGCTGACGTTTCGACGTCATCGTCGTCTTCAGAGCCGATAATCTGAGTATATTGTTTATAGCCATTCACGCTCGTTGTCGGCCTTCGTCTTCATTGTCTTTGAAGTCGAGCGATTCCATAAGAAGTACGAACGGTTGTGAACAACGACTTTGAAAATCATCGGCTCTGAAGACGATGAAGACGTCGAAACGTAAGCCAAATGAACTTTATAACAACATCACGGTATCAGCTCAAACATCGAGGAAAAGTTATTGATCGGTGATGTTGAGCTTAAAAGGAGGTCGCTTTCTAAAATAATTTAAAAATGTTTTCAGAAGTAATTTGCCATTTATGTGAAATAAGGGAAGCGAATCTAGATTTCAAATGGCTTGAATCTAATATTTATGAGCTACATAGAATTCGGAATACACATTCAATTTATGCAGAGTGTCTGAATATACAAGACAGACGTCTAGTCATAAGGACACAGAAATAAGTGCAGCTGGACAGCGGGCTTGACGAGAATAAAAACTAGTCGCTCTCTTGACCTGAGTAAATTTCATCACTTTTACCGCCTTTGAATAGTGCACCCCAAAAGAAGAGCGTATACGGACTTTGTTACTTTTGCACGATTGTCAATCAAAGTACGAAGAGTGGTGTCAAAACAGGCGTCAGTAGTGCAACGGTTCGAGCACGTGCCCTTGGATAGGGTAAAATGTGGGTTTGAGTCTCAGCTGACGCAAAAGTTTTACATATCACTATACATCAATGAGTATATTCATAACGTCATACCACCGTTGAAAGCGGTTAAATAAGAAAGATTTCTGTTTGATAATCTAAAGTACGATAAACGTACATAGCACTTGGAGAGGCTGAAGTTTATAATGCTGAGGATAACAAAATTATCAAATCCTAGTATCATAGTCATGTTGGAATCTCGAAAGACGACGAGAAGATGTCGTCTTAATAAGAACATTGCTTTACTGCAAAGAACATTAGAATTTTCTTGATGAAAACTTTTATCTAACTAGTTCTAATTGAAATTGTAACCTACATCAGAACAAAGCTAATGAAACCTCTGAGTTTCTCTTTGACGCGCTTACAGAAGTCACTTCTCCACGTAAGAGTGAATTGAAAGTGGAATTGGTTTCGTAAAGCCCCTTTGCCCAGCTTTTTTCAACCAAACTTTTTTCTTATAAAACGTGATAATTGTGTGTAAGCAAGCAGTAACGAGATTGAACCATAGCACACGCATACTATTAGAAAACATTTCCAACCCACTGAGAACAACCGTCCTCTCGTCTTGTTATGGGACCTTCCATGACTTTATTCGCACCACAAACACCACTTAAGGGTGCTTCTTCTTGATATGGTTACTTCTTTCGCTCCGTACAATTGATTGATTCGGCGCTTCTCATTTTAAGAAGAAGATTTCGTGTGATAGGCGAGAAAAAGAGGGAAATCAATCCACTTTGAGTGAACATTTCTATTCTAAATTGGCCAATATAAATCACGCCGGATATGATCACTCTAGCACACGCATTAGCAACAGGCTTAACCGAGCATATTTTTATATATATGAGGTAAGTACATATCTTATGTACTTACCTCATATATATAAAAGCATTAGAGCTTTAGAGCTTTATGAGGTAAGTACATATCTTATATACAACGTATATACTGACGACAAAGTCATAACTGGAATATTCTTCACTTCATCGCTGACAAGCAATAAACGAGGATGTTCGAAAATGAAATGAAAGTGAAGGTGACAAAGGGGGCGCCTTGGCCGAGTGGTTGTGATGCTCGTTGAGGCACGCGTGAAGTCGACCTCCACCTTCAACACCCTCCGGCAGTCAAGAAGAACGCTCTATGGAATGCCATAGCCAGGGTGTCCTCGAAATTGCAAGGAGACATGCTCGATCAGCATTCTACGTCATTCAGGAAGAAGAGAAAAAACGGATCGAATGCTCTAGCACTGTGATCCACACAATAAAAATTGTGATGACGAGTCGTGTAAAACAAAATGAAAAAAGGTGATAAAAAAATCTAACTCCCTCCAACTATGTGGTTGGATATAGTTCAACTTTTTCACAATCTTGTGTGTTGATTTCGGTACGCGCGTGTCTTTGATCTACAATTTCGTTTATAAAGCTTTTAGCACAAATTTTTTCTCTGAACTCGACAAAAATCGAATCATACAATGAACGCTGATGCGAAATATAATCAGTCCGCTACTAACTTACTAATTAGTGATTACTGAATGGGTGTTGAATTTGGCGCACATAAAATTTGCGTTTAAAGGACGCATTGAGAATGGAGACTCGCTTTGCTCTAACGCCACTAGTCGGGAAAACATGATACACCATATAATGCATAAGCCCGAATAGTTATGGGTTATTACAAATTTTGCTTAATAGAGCTGGTGTAAACTACATTAGAAGAAGAATTTTTGCTTCAAGACATATTACTTACATGTAGAATTAGTCTAGTCGGTGATAACTAAGTTAAATCTTCTCACAATTCGAAATAAGTGGATCATCAAACCACAACGAAACTTTTCGTCAGAAATAAGGCATGTATGAGATAAAGTCACTTCTTTCAGGTAATCCGCCTGTCTCACGAAACAGCTATCATAATCTAAAAGACATTCAGGGGGGCAAACACCATTTTAATGAAATAAAATACGGCCGTGAAGCAATGAAAAAATGGTTGGTGTTGATGCTACGACTGGTTCTGAGGACTCATTCGAGGCTACTCAATGAAGGAGCTCTAACTTTTTAAATTATTGAATGAAATTCAATGCAAAATGATGTTTGTTGAGGAAAACGAGTAATAAAGCATGAATTGCTGGCGACAGCTTACATACAAAATTCCTATCAAAAAAATTTTGTAGAAAAACCAAGAACTCGCTAATCTTTTTCTAAAAAAGTTGAGATTTAGGAGGTGATTCGTGGCACTATATCAAACATTTTCAGCTCTCTAAGCCTCCATCTCCAGCATGCAATCAATCGTTGATTTTTAAGACGTTTTTCCTCAAGAACTATATGAAGCTGTAAATGAAATTACCCGCACCAATAATGTTACTCATTTTACACAAACTACGCTTCTCGTTGAAGTAACAAAAGTGAATTATGCGGCAATTCATAGTATCATAAAACAGTATGATAGTCAACGCAGCTGCATCACGGAGACGACATCCAGAACAGACAGTCAAAGCTTAAGGATTTGACATCCGCGCGAACACATTTCGGTATGCATGGAAATGGCCCCTCAATGGCGGCTCCCTAAAACCTTTCATTCTTATAAGCACCTTTTAGCTCTTTTTACATTTTATGAGCCGAACATTACAACGGAGGATAAAGCTTAAGGATAAAATACTCGGCGTTGATCAATCCCTGAGGGATGCACCATGCATTCGTCTTCAATTTGTAACTTCGTTTGAGGTGATTGAATGCATATTTGGCCTTGAATGACTCACGGTGGCTTTCTGCTGTACCAAGTTAGTGTTGCCTATCCTCCTAGATAAGGTTGAGACAATTTACCCACTCCAGGGGGATGGACGGCTTGGTGAGCCATGAGCGAGAGATTGAACCATTGACCTCGTGTGCAAAGCAGAGGATCTCTAACCACTGCGACACATGCGCTCTACAACGAAGAACTCGAGAATTACTGAAGTGCGCCCTACCTCAAAACACTGATTTTGATGCGCGCGACACCCACTCTGTGATTCATTGCTTGTCAAAGGGTTAAATAAGTTTTTATGGTCGTCAAAGCATTAAATATAGCCTATAAGCTGTCAAGTCGTTCAACCCTCCACCACTCTATCTATTGAATATTTATTGATAATCAAAGAAAAAAAATAACGCCGTGTTATTTGCGCCAGAATCATATATTGATAACGCTTTTTGTTTTCGTTTCATCAATGTGTCATGCATATATAGTATTTGCTAAGCGTCGCACTAAATCTAGCATTCGTTTCGTTCTGTCGAAAAGTCTCTTCAAAGACAATTAGTGTCATGCGTAAGCATTTCTTTGAGTATAATAGCGTGGTTTCTATGCAGTTTTCAGTTGTGAGTACAGATAATTGATGTGAGCCATTAAGATGAGATAAGGGTGAAGCTGTGTGTAGGCGTTCTGGAGGAGCTTCGTCTTGAAGTCTACTTGGCCATTTCCGTTTATCTTTCACTATATCCAAACTATAAAAGCTATGTTAGCACGAGCCCTAGTAGGGGTGAATCGCAGGTTCAACTCCCTCCTGAAGTCGAATTTTTGCGTACCACTCAATCTTTTTAGTCGTTTTAGATAAATTATACACAACATTACATCACCCTAGAATGCAGTGAAAGCGATAAATTTTTTACAGAAATTTGATACACAAAAAAAGCCGTCAGCTCAACTGGATTCAATGGTGATATCGGTTGCCAGAATATACCCGTTAAAGACTGATTGCTGACAGCATCGATAGTTTATGGATGAGTGATGGCTGAGCTGCGGCCTAGGGGTGTAGTGGAATTTCTCGCCCCGGTGAGGGTGGACGCGTGTTCAGCTCAGCCTAAGAACGAGTTTTTGCATTTTGCTCAATCTTCTTGAATTATTATGAATATTCTAATTCCAACTGTCCTTCCCAGACTTTCAAAAAATAGTTTGTCAAAAAATAGTTTCTGAAAGTCTGAAATACATGGTCGGCTTTCACCTTGCATGCGCTTGTTATATATAAGACCCCTTATTGAGCAGCTCTGGGGTACATGGTGTAGCGCCTGAAATTCTGGACTCGACATGTCAGAACACATTTCAGCTGCGTAACAAGAATTTTACGAGAAGTAATAAATCAAATTTGTGAGCATTGCACTCCAAGACATTTGGCTATTCTCTGATTTTCTCAAAAGTACAAGTACATAGAAAGTGCTATTGGGTAATTGCGTGGAATATAATTTCTGAAGTAGTAAAATTACCACTGTCAAATAACTTCTTCACATTGTGACCTATCTATGAAGCTGGTCTGAATCCGATGTCGAAAACTCTCTAACGGTTTTATTTTATTCCCCTTGCAGCTGAGCTCGCTTAGCTTGATAAGCAATTTGTGAAAAATAAGGATGATGCTGACAAAACTTTAGCCCAGTACAAACTTCCTATCAAAGCATATATCATTCTGATCTCAACAATATGGCTTCATTAACTACTGAAATATTGTGGCGGACAGTTTCGGCCACGTGAAATACCTCTAACCCTTTTGCTCCACTGTGGCCAGAAGACTATGGGACAAGTGAACTCTTTTTCTGTTGAACGATGTTGAGACTAGCCACCGAGGCTTCGCTGAATGCTTTTTGTAGTCAAGAAAGGTACAGTTAAAGCTAAAAGGACAAAGCTCTCGGCGTTGATCAACCCAGAGGGATACGCCATGCATTCGTCTTCAATTTCTGACTTCGTTTGAGGTGATTGAATGCATATCTGGCCTTCACAATGACTCGCGGTAGCCTCCCGCTGTACCGAGTCAGTGCTGCTTGTCCTCAGTCTGAGACTTGTCCGGTACCAATTAACCAACCCCGGAGGGATGGATCGCTTGGTGAGCCATGAACGCGATATGGAATCATTGACCTCGTGCGCGGTGCAGAGCACCTCTAACCATTGCGCCACATGCGTTTTTAAAGGTACGGGTAATGGATAGAAATTTGTCCAATCAAATTAGTGGTAACGAAGTGGTTCTCCTAAGATTTTGCTGCCCATTTGACCAAGTTTCAT